GATCTGAAAATGTAAGCTCAAAGCGTCATTAAAATCAGCGTCTTTGAGTGATATACAATACTTTGGATAATATGTGAATAGGAGTTTTGTATAGGCTAGGTTTCCCTCTACTATACCAAGATTTCCTTCTCTAGCATTTATGAATCTTTCATCGGATAGATTTATTACTATCGGACAGTTGATTCCTTCTTTAAAAGTCGATTTGACTAATATTTGAATTCCTCCTAGATGAACATAATTCATTTTCTTTCTTTTTCTTTCAGGAATTTTCCTAAGAATTTGTTCTATCATGGGTTTTGTCAACATGTTTAGTTTGTGTTTTCCTGTTGTTTGGGTAATTTCTATTACCTTTTCAACCTCTTGATATTCGTGGTAAGAGATTTTATCTCTTGCAAATATTCTTTGCATTCTGCTAAGTAGATTGTCTTCTACTTTGAGATTAAGTTTTAATCCTTGGATTCTTTTAAACGTTTCTCCATCAAAGGTTGCTTTTAAAGCATATCCTCGATGATCTTCTTCTGTTTCTAGAAATTGAACATAATCATCTTTTTCTTTAATTTCTCTATTCATTTATTCAGAATCTTCTGAATTACTTGAATATTCTTCATAAACTTCATCATAGAAATCATCACTTTCTATAGATTTTATTGATTCAAGATCGGAATCGATCTCAATTCTATCAATTTTTGAGATCTTTACTCGTTTTTTGTTACATTCGTAACTTTTATGTCCTTCTTCACCACAGTTATAACATTTGCATTTATCTGTTGGTTTGGTTTTGGTAAACTCATTTTTCTTTTTATAATACCTTTTTCTTGGTATGTATTTTTGTTTTGAAAAATTTTTCTTTTTTATTAATCCTTTTTTAATTTGTTTTTTCTTTTTATAAGGTCTATCATCACATCCCCATTGAGAAGATGCTTTTGTGTCATTACAATAAATTTGTGTATTAATTCTTTTAGCTTTTCTTTGAATGTTATGGGACATGCAAAGTTGGCTAAGTCTATTTTTTAGGAAATTAGTTCTTTGACCAAGAGTATCTCCTTTTTTATTTTCTTTTTCATATTCTTCTCTGAAATATTTTGCCCAAAAGCCTGGTAATTTTTGATAGTATTTTTCTAGATATGGTAACATTTCTTTACCACTATCAAATATCTTGTAGTAGTATTCTTCGAATTCACAAATGTATTCTTGAATATAACTCATTTTACAAATTTGTAATTTTTCAAGTTGTTCTTTAGCTATAGTTCTAATAGCTTCTTTGTTTTCTTTTATATTTCCTTGTCCACCAAAGAATTCATTAGCAACGTATTGCTTTAGATTTGTTATACCTTCTTGTACGGAATTTTTTAATCTCTCTAAGGTATCGTTTTTGATTATGTTTTCTGCATCTTCAGTTAATCCAGAAAACCAATCGTTTACCTTTCCCATGAACGTGTTTATCATGATGGTGTATTTTTCTTCATCAGTATAATTTCCTTTTCCTAATAGGAAATATAGAAGCATATTTTGAGACCATAGGTCTAAGCTATTTTCTGGATCTCTTTTACATTCAAGATCTAGAAATTGAGCTCCAATGTCTCCTGTTGGAAGCCTATTTGGCATGAATTTTGATTTATAATTATCATGAAATTTTTTTGAAAATTCATTGTTTTTCTTTGCTTTATTAGCGAAATTTCTATCATCTTGTTCTGGCTCTTGCCATTCTTGTTTCATTGAAGCTGAAGCTTCAAATTTTCCTTGGGGTCCTCCTGTTTCCCCTTTATTCATTAATACTTTTATTTCTGAAAGACTTAAGTCTTCCATTGAATAGACCAATTCGTCTAATTCATTCATCATTTTTTGATTCTTCATTATCTTTTGACTCGGATGCTTCAGAGTTTTCTTCTAGATTATACAAATCTTTTTCTTTTAGTTTTTGTTTTTCAAGGAATTTTTGGATTAAAATTTCATCCATACTTCCTCTTTGGTAGGTGCTTGCACTTGCAGATCTTTTGTTTAACAAGTCTTTTATGTATTTTTGACTAACTTTTTTGTCAAATTTTTCAGTTTTTTCTATCATATTTGTTATTCTTCCTGGAAGATTTTCTTTTATGTAGGATATTTCTATCTCTATCATTTTTAACCGTAAGGTTAATTGTTTTTGACTTTCTATTAAGTCTTTTAGAAGTTCCGTAACTTCTTTTAGGCTCATTTTGAATAATAATAATCAGATGTATCTATCATATTAGCTTCACCATGAAAACTATATGAATTATATATTAATTCTTGTCTCTCTTCCTCTTTTTTTATTCTAAGAGCAATTATAGAGACTATTTTTCTTTTTAGATCTTCATCTAAATTTTTTATTACCTTTAGTATTGTTACTAAAGTTTCATATTCTATAAACCATAAAGGTTTTACTAGATTTCTATTTAATACCATGTTTATTTAATAGAGTTATGCAAAACTATTTGATATCATTAATAGAGTTATGCAAAAAAGAAATTAGCTCTTTATTACAAAAAGGCCTTATAAGGCAATCCAAATCACCATGGTCTTGTACGGCCTTTTATGTTAATAAACATGCCGAACAGGAAAGGGGAGCACCCAGATTGGTAATAAATTATAAACCTCTTAATAAAGCTTTAAGATGGATCAGATATCCAATTCCGAATAAAAAGGATTTATTAGATAGAGTTTATGATGCTATTATATTCTCTAAATTTGATTTGAAATCAGGCTATTGGCAGATTCAGATAGCTGAATCAGACAGGTTTAAAACCGCTTTTAATGTGCCAATGGGGCAATTTGAATGGAATGTTATGCCGTTCGGTTTAAAAAATGCTCCATCAGAATTTCAGAAAATAATGAATGATATATTCATTCCTTATAGCAATTTTATAATTGTTTATATAGATGATATCTTAGTATTTTCAAAAAATGTGGAAACTCATTTTAAACACCTGGAATTATTTAAGAAAATTATTATACAAAATGGTTTGGTTTTATCCCAGCCTAAGATGGCTTTGTTTAAAACAAATGTCAGATTCCTTGGTCATAATATTGAAAGAGGTAATATCAGCCCTATTAATAGAAGTATTGAATTTGCTTCAAAGTTTCCTGATATTATAACTAATAAGACACAGTTAACTAGCATGCAAAATGCTAGACCATGATCATGCTTGATGTAGCATAGAAGAAGAAGAAGACAAAGAAGATGACGTAAGCACTTACGTCAAAGAGCATTAAAGAAAAGGAATCAATTTCTTTTTCTTTTTCTCAAAGACAAAAAAGAAGAGCCCATCATGTCGGCTAATTATCGAAAGAAGACAATGGAGCGTCATTATCCGCCCATTATCTTATCTCCAAAGAATCTTCTGGCCCCAGCAATCAGAAAGCTAAGGACTAGAAGAATAATTATGTAATAGTTTAGGGAGGTCCCTAAACAATTTCTTTTTTGTAATAAGTCCCTCCTTATATCTATAAAAGGAGAGGAACTTCATATTGAGAAGGCAGACTAAGTTTTCTGAGAGAACATCCATCTTAGAAAAATGTTAGGTACCTTCGGAGAGATGAAGTTTTGTGAGTAGTACTTCTCCCGCCAGGGAAAAGTATTTTCTTATTATGTTATAAGTATAGTATAGTAAGTATGGTGTGTATGTAAAAATTATCATATGAAATAAACAGTTGGTGCTGAACTCCTCCACCTTTAAATTTCTAGATTTTTTGCATAACTCTATTACTTTCTCACTTTATTAATGATATCAAATAGGTTAAACAAACTCACTTTTGAGATTCTCTACAAACTCAAAAATATTTGCATAAACCAACTTTTCCAAGATCACTATCTATAAATCACCTCTTTGTTGTGAGAAATGACAAGTGTGGAATTTTCAAACACGGTGTTTTCTTTAGAAGACGCGTATGTGATGAAGACAGTGTGTAGTGGACCGATGAATTGTCGCTTTCAAATAGGAGCCAAAAACGGCTAATTGAATTATTGGTACAACAATTATAAAGAGTATAAAATACACGACTACGATAGTAGTAGTTGTAGGTAATCAATAGTTAATTATTATAAATGCCCTCACCTCAAAAATAAAACTTGAAGAAGCTTCCTCTTTAGATTTATTTGAAAACGATTTCTAATAACATTATATTTTTATGATTATAACAAAATCAAATTATTATTATACATTTTTAAAATATCACTTTGGTCAAAGGTAATAAGTAAGTTTCACCAAGTCAAATATTTCATGCTCCTCTATTTGTTCAGTATTTCTAAAATAAAATTTTACTTTGGTTGTTATTTTTAATATAATATTAGTTTTTTTTTTTAAAAAAATACATAAAATTTAAAGTAAACAAATAAAAAAAAAAGACATTTAGAAAGGCATGTGATGTGAATAAGTAAACAACCGATAAAAATTAGGCTCCTAAAAATTACGATAGAGTAATAAATATTTCAAAATGAGAACTTTTAAATTTACGTCTTCTCAGATGAATAATCATCTTTGTCAAGAAACGTTCTGAAAGAATGTGATGATTGTGTTTGTCACATAAGAAGAAAAAAAAAAAGAGTGTAGTGACTAATGAGAAGCGCGTTCTAGAATCGGCTATCTTGCAATGCTAAGCCTGCATGGGTCGGGGTCGGGGTTGTCAATTCAACACGTAAAGCGCTTTTGTCTTTGGAAATTCCCGCCTGCCCACGTAATCGGATACACATTATTATTCTATTGAAACTTGGGCGGTCCCTCCATCTTCACCGCATTTTTAAACCCTCACAAGATCTCACTCTTATTATTATAAAATAAAAGAAAATTTTGGTGAAAATATCACTTTTACATAGCAAAATTTGTGCGAGCTTTAAATGATTTTGATTTAATAGATTCAATTTACACCGACAAAGTTTTAATCGAAAAAAAGAAAAAGAAAACAACTTTTACCCTCTCTTCCCTTATCCATTATATAAGTGCAGCTACCCACCGTTGCTCCTCAAGCTATTCTTATTACACGTCTATTCCAAAAACACTAATAATCGAGTCAGCTAAATGGCTATGAAGGAAAAAGTTACAAACGGAGTGAAGAAGAAAGAGGTTCACTACAGAGGAGTGAGGAAGAGGCCATGGGGTCGTTATGCTGCTGAAATCCGTGATCCCAACAAGAAGACCAGAGTTTGGTTGGGAACTTTCGACACTGCAGAGGAGGCGGCAAAGGCATACGATGCCGCGGCTAGAGGATTCCGTGGACTTAAAGCCAAGACAAATTTCCCCTTTCCATCGGAGGATCAGAGCCCCAATGATAGCAGCGGCAGCCCGGATGAGTCCTTTAGTGGAGAAAACGGTGTCCACGCGCCGCCGGAGCTCGACCACACGCGCCACCTCGAGGAAGGGGGTGGCGGCAATACGGAAGTTGGGTTGGTGAGAAATGGGCTTCCGCTTTTCCGTCAACAACCGGCCATGGTGAGCAACAGAAGCAGCCCTGCAGAGTCCTCTATTGGGGAAACCGTTGTTCAATCGCCGTTTGAGCTCAATCTCACGCGCCGTCTTGAAGGGGGTGGCAATGGTGGCCGTTCAGCTGAAGTTGGGTTGCTAAGAAATGGATTTCCGATGTTCCGTCATCAACCGGCCAGTCATGCAGAACTCGACCTCACGCGCAGCCTTGGTGACCATGTCAGGAATGGGTTTCCGATATCTCATCGGCAACCGGCCGTGGCGGTTCTGCCTAATGGACAACCAATTTTGTTGTATGATGGTAATTTAGTGCGAACCGGATTAGTGAACCGGCCGCAACCATACCGGTTTGAACCGGTGGCGACAGCGGCCGAGTTTAACGGTGTAACTGGTAGAGTAGTTGATAGTGAATCTGATTCATCTTCAGTAGTAGGCTTAGGTAGAAGAGAATTAAATCTTGATCTTAACCTTGTTCCACCAATGGAAGTTTAATGTGAACTACTGATGTAATTAATACGTTCATATATCTTTTATTTAAAATCCTAAGACGGAATATTTATATATCTAATTGTTAAAAAGTGTATGATTTGGTAGGTTCGTTTGATGATTTTATTGGCTGTCTAACCGTGCAAATGGTTCCAATGTTTTAAGTCTTAAATCTATAATCAGTAGGAAGTAAGAGCATATACTCCCTCGTTTCAAAAAGACTGAACTCTTTTTCTTCTTAGTCTGTTTAAAAATAATGATTTTTTTTTGTAACATTTTAATTTTATCTTTTCACGTGACATGTTTAAGACCATAAAATCAAAAGATAATTTTTTATATTTGACACAATTTTAATTTAGGACCACAAAATTCAAAAGTCATTTTTTATTTTTTTAAATTTTGTGTCAATTGAAACTAGATGATCCTTTATGAAACGGAAACGGAGGGAGTATTAAGTTAGTGCTGCGTACTAGCCAAGTGATTATATGGGGGTGGTTAATAGATCATTAGGAATCCATGTTGACGGGGAACTTTGTCTACGTCAGGTGTACTATTCTGCCGTCCAACATTATTATATTGTGCATTGCATGCCACTTTCAATTATTTAAACAGTTAATTGGAAAATATCATATCAAAATTAAAGTGAATCAATTAACCTATGATAAATATATTACTCCCTCCGTCTCTATTTATTTGTCCATATTTCCTTTTTTAGTTGTCCCTATTTAGTTGTTCATTTTGACAAATCAATAAAGGACAATAAATTTTTTCCTATTATACCCTTATTTACACTTCTTGAAAATTGTAAAAGTGTATGTTGTTTCCCTCCAATTTTTTTCACTTGAATTCAAATAAGTAGTTGTAATTTTGAAGTGAAAAGTTGTCATAAAGGTAAAATTGTAACTTCACTGTGCTAATCATTGTTGCCTTAATCTGTGTGCCATTTCTAAAGTGGACAATTAAAAAGGGACGGAGGGAGTACTTTACTACTACTAATAATTTTCTTAATTGGTGTCGTAAAAAGATAAATAATACTCCCTCCATCTCAGTCCCATTTTATATGAGGTACTTTGACTCGACACGGAGTTTAAGAAAGAAAGGAAGACTTTTAAAACTTGTGGTCTAAAATGAATGATAGAAATTTGTGTGGCTGTAAATTCTTTCATTAAGGATAAAATAGATATTTTATAGTTAGATTGTTACTTTATATAAAAATGTATTATTCTTTTTGGAACTGACTAAAAAGAAAAGTGAGTCATATAAATTGGGACAAAGGGAGTAATAAGTATAATAAGAGAGGTGAAGTGGAAAGGTGTACTGTAGTTGTTTGTTTGATTTGACTGGGCGAAATTGGTGGAGTAGATTCCCTGTGTGGGGGCAAAAAAGCACGTGTCGTGAGGTGCTTAATGGCACACTTTAATGGTGACGTGTGGGGTGAGAAAGTGAAACTCATCAAATAACGCCGCCACCTTTGCCTTTACTTGTCTTTTTTCAAACCAAAAAGTGGGACAGTTGCCTCTTTAATCGACACGTCCTACATTTCTCTTCCTTCATTAAACTTCAAAGCAACCACTAAAAAAAGACATTATGCTTGATATTGAGCCCAAAAAAAAAGTAAAGTTAGACGTAATTTGATTAGTTTTTCAAAAGAAGGTTCATGTAACACCTCTCGTCGAAGATTTAGAATTTTCACTAAGAGATATCACAAATTCAACCTTATGTAATTTGGAATACTTGGTATTTGGTGAAGATTAATATTGAGGGAGTTATGTATCATGTTGTCACACACCCTATTTTTTAAAATAATGTTTCGAAAAAAGAGTTTTTCCAATTTAAGTGACGATATTGATTAGGGATTATTTTATTTTTAGAGTCGCCACTTGAAATTGAGTTATGGTGTTTCAAGTCATTTTTTTCTGATCTGCAAAAATAAAGTTCAGGTAAGAAATTTTGTTGACTGAGGGGAAGGTATTAGGCATCCCTCGATTCCCGTAATTCTAGCATGGTCGATTTTATTGACTTATACTTATTTTTAACTATTTTTGGATATATTTTATATGCTACAGTTCGCTCATATTTTTATTGTTGAACTTTTATTTGGTCTCAACCTAGATACGTAACCGCATTCTTGGTCTTGAAGTTTAAAGACATAATTGTATTATTTGCATCACACTTATTAACTTTATCTAAAAGTGTTATTTTAAATTAATGAAATATAATTATATTTTTGGACAAGGTGCGTCACCGCATCCTTGAGTTTATTTTAATGTCTCAAGAAAAATATGTGTAACCACATTCTTAATCGAAATAAATATTTTTAACGGGTCATATATCCGTCCTAATGCTTACCTATTGCTAAAAAGCTTAAGCGTATTATTAGTGACTAAATTGTTTTATACTATTTATATTCATGAATACTATCTAAATAATAAAAGTCTAAAATCATAAACAAATAAAAAAGTTATTTTCATATTCAAATTTGATATAGATGCATTTACATTTTAAGTATACTTGCAAGTCATGGCAAAAGACATTAAAATAAAATAAAAATAATAAATGTGTAACTCTCCATCTTTTATTTTTTCTAAATAAACATTTTTAATTTTAGATAAATTTGACTAAAAAACTATTAGAATAATTCTTTCAAGCATTTAATTAGTTGAATATAAAAAAACACTTAATTGATAGTAGCTTATTGTACAAGATGGAAGATAACATAAAATAAAATAATGGGTAAGTATTTCAATATTATAGCATCAAAGTTCTACACACATAAAATTTGAGTAATTTCATAACATTGGAATCAATTATAATCATGAAATAAAATTATAAAAAATTAAATTAAATTAAGTGTTACCTCTTGTGAAAATTATTTACGAAAAGAAAATAATCTTAATAAGGAACCACGAACTCAAAACCAAGAAAGCAAACCTCGAATTCAACCTTTTGTATGTGAGTGGAAAGAATATAATATAAGGGTGAGTATGTATGTTGTTGTACGTGTGGGTAATGGTGTTGGGTGTGAAAATGTTTGGGTGGATTTTTTATCGGTGTTGCGTATTTGGGTGTATGGGAATTGGAGTTAGGGGTGGGCGAACCGGTTCTTCGGTTCGGTTTAATCAAATTTCGGTTCGGTTCTTTGGTATTTGGTTTTAGAAAAGTGTGCACCATATTTCATACCAAACTAGATCGGTTCGGTTTTATTTTTTCTACTTCGGTTCGATGTGAATAAAAATAAAGAGGGAATATGATAAAGTGTTAAGAGTTTCATGTGTTTAATTTATAATTAAGAAGACGCTGCATAGATGATTCTTTAACTAGAAGAATTTAAATTCTGTTTCTGTTTCTAGCAAAGATGCCAAAGGATTTGTTAATTAGATGGATTATTTACCCTCCCATGTTGCTACAGAGATGACCAACTAAATATACAGCGACAGAATCAGCAAACATATGCAGATAAATGGTAGGGCTGGGCATTCGATATTTCGGTTCGGTTTCGATTTTTTCAGTTCTTGTACAACGTGTACCGAACACCGAACCGAATTATTTCGGTTCAGTTTTTATTATTTCGGTTTGATTTATGTTATTTTGGTTCGGTTTTTGTTAGTTCGGTTTTTTGTTACAGGAGGGTAGTCGATCGTGAGTAAGCATCACTAACAGAATTGTGCTTGTTGTCAACGGAAAAAGAGCTGGTTTCATATTCTTCTTCTCTACCTGTTGTACTAAGATGCTGCACTACCTGCTGGAGTGCTGCTGCTGGTCGGCTAGAGGCTGCCGTTGGTCGGCTGGTCACTGGTCGACGCGACAACGCCAAAAGTGGAAGTGGGAAAGCGGGTCAGTGAAAGCAGCGTCGAAGAAGAATGAAAACTCAAGTTAAAAGTGAAGCGTGGGTTATTCAGTGACCTAATTCAATTGTGAATACACTAATATTTATTATTTAATAATTAATATAATATTAATATATATTATAATTATAATATAATATATTTCGGTAAACCGAAATATCGAATAATACAAAAGTCACATACCGAAAATCGAATCAAAATACCGAAAAATACAAAAATTTATACCGAATCGAAAACCGAAAACCGAAATACCGAAACCAAAATACCAAAAAAATTTGGTTCGGTTCGGTAATTCAATTTTTTGGTATTTATGCCCAGCCCTAATAAATGGTAAAGAGCACACAACAATTATCTTTACTCACAAAACAAGGTCTACAAAGACTTGTCCACACATTTTAAAAAAAAAACACAACACCATCAAACGGCACTATCTCTTTGGATACACGATTCACCACATTCAAAACATAGACTTTAGGTCTTTAGGGTTTACACTTTATGTTTTGTCATTTAAAAATTGAAATGGGCCAGGTAAATATTTTGAGTCAAAATATATAAGAATTATTAAGTAATATAATTTAAATATTTTTAAATTTATTTAATAAAATTTCGGTTCTTCGGTGCACCGTAGTTTCGGAACCCTTACACCAAACTCCGAACCGAAGAATCGAAGTTCCGAAAATAAAGAACCGACATCGAACCAAAATATCGAAGAACTGAAATAGTTCGGTTCGATTTGATTTTTCGATATTTATGCCCACCCCTAATTGGAGTTGAGTATTCTGCAAATGTGTGCATGTGTGTCTTTTTTCTTTTTCGTATGTTGCTGCATAAGGGTGTGTTGTATAGTGTTGCTTAGGGGAAATTAGGAGGAAGTGGGGTGTGCAGGTGGGTAGTGGGTAGTGGGTGTGGGGAGTGGAGAGTTAAGTTTATTTTTATAAATTAAATATATATAAAAATAATAATAATAATAATAATAATAACAAATAAAAATATTAACTAATTATTTTGAACTTATAAAATATAAGAAAAGTCAAATAGCTAGTCTAAAAATATAATTAAGAAATACTAGCTGATTTATTAAAAGAAATCATATATTTTTTGTAGTTTTCAAATCTTTTAAAATAAACTTACTAAAATACGATGAGAAATAAAATATTTAATATAGACCTAGAAACAATATTTAAGGAATAAAAATGGTGTAAAAGCTTATATTCGGTCAAAAATTACGTATCTACCCATGTAGTTTA